ATAATATGACCTTTTTGAAGTACCCTCGTATTTGGAGCTGGGTTGTAAGCGCCCTCTTAAGAAGAAGAATCTGTTTGCCTCGGTCCTCACCCAGCTTCCCTCAGCATCTATGTCACCTTCCTGGTGCCAGGGACATTTGAGGCCTCCCTCTGTTCTTTTTGCCTCTGGATAGCCTGGTTTTTAGGAAGAGTGTCCTCGAAGGGGCAAGTGACTTTTGAGACCCTTAGATGACCCAGGCTTCTTTCCTTGTGGATTTGGAGTGCAGCCTGGTCAGTGATTAATGATCAAATTAGGACTTATGTTTAGCTATGTGTACTACTATCTGAATTCTGTCATGGTAAGGGTATCTTTGTTGCTAAACCAATTTCTTCTAAAATGTGGAAGGTCGGGGCCGGCCCAGTGGCGCACTGCTACAGTGCGCCGCTTGGGAAGTGCGGCAGCGCTCCCGCCGAGGGTTCGGATCCCACATACAGACCGGTTCCCGCTCACTGGCTGAGCGAGGTGCGGGCGCAACACTGAGGGTTGCGATCCCGTTGCCAGTCCGGTCCGGTACGGGCGCGACACTGAGGGTTGCGATCCGTTGCCGGACACGAAAAAAGACAAAAAGGAAAAAAAAATGTGGAAGGTCGACTTATTTCCCTTTAGACTTGTGGATGGTAATGGATGAAAATAGCTCTCTTGCTCTATAGCAAACTTGCTCAAGTACGGAAGTTACATTTAGCTTCTGCAATAGGAGTCTGTGAAAGTATGTGAGAAGGAAAAGGCTCGCAAACTGGAGTCATCCTTCAGACCTTTCTACTGGAAGTTCCATAATTGTTGCTAAGAACAGGGCAGCATTTAAAAAAAATATTATTTTCAATTGCCAGGTATTAAGAATGCCTGATATTTGTTCACTTGAATATTAAATTCAGTTGTAGGGGGTGATCAGAGTGTTGTTATTTGTAGAACTGGTGGTTGGAGGAATGTAAAGTATTTTTGTGACCTGCAGTAAGGGTGCTTACTATAGCTTGAACACCTTAATTAATGCTGAGTACCTAGCTCATAGTAGGCATTTAGTCAGATTTTGTTGAATGAATCGATACATGGAGAAATATATGCTTTAGATCAAGGATTAGAGCAGACTGTTGCATATTTGGCCAACAGCCTTGGAGCTTAGGATATGGTTCACATTTTTACAGGGTTATAAACAACAACAAAGATGGAGACCCAAAGTCACCCATAAAACCTAAAATGATTACTGTCTGGCTCTTTACAGGAAAAGTTTGCTGATCCCTGCTCTAGGTAATGGAGGTGGTAACTCTACTTTCCTTTTCATTTATACTGTGTTATATACACCTAAACAATCACTGTAGACGGTGGCATCATGGTGATGTGTTTCTAACATGGGAAATAGGCCTAAGTGATTGCTAGACACACACATGAAACTTCCAATTAACAAGCAAAGGAACTACTGAGAACCAATGGTTAATAAAATTCAGACTGTCTTTGCGCTAAGTCTTCCAAGAACTGCTTTGAACATGTCATTTTACTATATGATGTAATGAAGTTTTAGAACTGAAGAAAACTTTGAAATCCTTTCCCAACCATCTCATGAATAAACTTAAGTATGGAAAAGAAAATAAAAGACTTTGCAAAATGAAATTGCTTTTTAGAAGCAATGCTTCTCCCAAACTGCCTCATTTGATGATTAAAAAAAAAAAAAATCCCAGATTTTGAAGCCAGGAATACTAAACTAGGAGAGATTAGTCAGTGCATTGCGGTCCGCAGCCCCTGGAGAGGACAGTGAAATCTATAGGTGCTATATTCTGACTCCAGGCAAATTATGAAACCTCGCTATTCTTCAGTGCCTGCATCTGCTGTGGTAATAAGGTTAAGAGGAATAAATGAGTTTATTTGTCAGGCATTTAAAACAGTGCCTAGCACATAGTAAATATATTAGTGTTTGTTAAATAAAGGCAGTGCCTAAGAAAATAATAATGGTCAGTTATCAACAGGTATAAAAGTTGGAGGAGAAATCATTCCCAGGTTTAACTATAGCCTTTAAAACATTTATCACTGGGCAGACAATGCCTGATCCTTAAACTGTTAAAGGTGATATTTTTGGTACCTGAAATCCAGTTTCCCTGATAAGTACTCCCTGCCCCATTATTGCTTATCAGATGTCTATATCATTCAGCTCATATGAGTATGTATCTTCAAGCACTTAACCAGTTACTATTTTAAAATCAGTTTTAATAAATCTCATAATACCTTTCCAGTCTCCCCATTTAAAATCTAAATGCTATTAGAGCTGGAGGGGTAAGGTGTAACTTTGGCATGTTTTCTGATTTCAGAAAAAATAGAACCAACTATTTGGTAGTGTGGTCCAGAGAAAATGGGTCAAATCTGTTAATTGTTTTAGTTAGGGTACCGAAATTCTGAATTGAGACTGGTGACTAAGAAGTGAAATATTCACGCTACTTTACCAAATCTTCAAGATATATGCCTCTAGTAGGTTGGCATTTAGATGGGATGCTTTTATTTGCATTGAAAATATAAGAAACTGTACTGGAATTTTGTTTATAATAGGCTAATGTTATTTTCTTATAGTTTGCAGTGTTGATGTGGGTATTTACCTATGTTGGGGCCTTGTTCAATGGTCTGACACTACTGATTTTGGGTAAGTCTACAAAATCACTGGAATGAAACACTGAAAGAAAAAATCGTATGCAAGAGCTTAGAGACATTTTAGTGGAGAATATTCTTGTAAGAAAAAGAGGGGATGAAAATTTGAGGTAGTGATCTCTTTAATTGCTGATACGGATACTCAGTTTATTGCAATGCTACTTTAAAGATTGCTCCAACTAGCAGTAGTAAACCAGATAAAGGGTAACCTTATCTAATGGTGTAATCACAAATGTAACCAGGGATGCCCGTATTTTATAAAATCTGTGTGATGTGATTTGAAGCTAGGAATAGTTCCCACAGCCTCTGGAGTGGCTTCTGAACAGCAGATGCCTCCAGGAGATTCTTATTCATTCATTAAGAATACTGGCTGGTTATCCTGAGTGTTGCCAGTTTGATTGTTTTTTAGAGTTGTTCCTTAAATTATACCAGTCTTTTTAAAAGGTTTTTATTTCCTTTTTCAGCTCTGATTTCCCTTTTCAGCGTTCCTGTTATTTATGAACGGCATCAGGTAATTTCTTAACTGCCGATTTCAGAATACAGAGCTCAATCTATTATATAGGATTTACAGATGTGTCAGTGCCAGTTTCCAAAGCATTATACAAATGAGAAATGTGATAATTTCTTATTAAGCCTCTAATTTGTTGGCACATAGTAATGGTTAATAAGATTCTTTAGCAATGGTAGTTATCTAATTACTCCTTTATACCTTTCTTTCAGGCACAGATAGATCATTATCTAGGACTTGCAAATAAGAATGTTAAAGATGCTGTGGCTAAGTAAGTGTTAAAATATGCAACTTTTTAAACTAAGGGTAAAGGATGCTGATTTTGAGAATAGTGCAATATATTTTCATATTATGGGCCTAATGAGTAAATCTCCATCAGATCTTAAGTGTGACATCCAAGTTGCCAAAAGACTTTAACATTTGTATTATTAATTTCTTGGTTTACTATGTGTATTTAAGGTTTTAAGTCTAATTTGTGAGGCCATGATGTTAAATTATACCTTGTAATTTGGCAGCTTTAGGATTTCATTTCTTGTATAAGCTGAATAATATACAAGCAGTTCTTGAAGGATGTCATTTTAAGCAGCAGAAAACAAATTCTTAAAACTTTGAAATACTTACATTGACATTTTTTCCCCTCCTTTTCATTTGTAGAATCCAAGCAAAAATCCCTGGATTGAAGCGCAAAGCTGAATGAAAAAGCCCAAAATAATTAATAGGAGTTCATCTTTAAAGGGGATATTCATTTGATTACATGGGGGAGGGTCAGGGAAGAATGAGACCTTGACTTGCAGTGCAGTTTCACAGATCTTTATTTTTAGCAATGCACTGTTGGAGGAAAAATTACCTGTCTTGACTGCCATGTGTTCATCATCTTAAGTATTGTAAGCTGCTATGTATGGGTTTAAACCGTAATCATATTTGTTTCTCCTATATGAGGCACTGGTGTACAAAAAAAGACCTGAGAAAGCTGTACATTATACTTTGTTGCAGGTAGTCTTGCTGTATTTGGGGAATTTGCAGAGATGGTGGAGCTGAAAAAAAAAAATCCTTTTCACAGTTTGTGTACTGTGTATGGTCTGTGTAGATTGATGCAGATTTTCTGAAATGAAATGTTTAGACAAGATCATACCACTAAAGCAGGAATGAGAAAGCTTGCCTTCCTGGTATGTTCTAGGTGTATTGTGAATTTTATTGTTATATTAATTGCCAATATAAGTAAATATAGATTATATATATATCTATATATAGTGTTTCACAAAGCTTAGACCTTTACCTTTCAGCTGCCCTACAGTGCTTGATATTTCAGAGTCACTGGTTATATGTGTGTAGTTCCAAAGCACATAAGCTACAAAAAGAAAATATTTCTAGGAGCACTATACCATCTGTTTTCAACATGAAACAATGCCACGCACATAGAACTCCAACATAAACTTCATTGCACAGACTTACTATAGGTTTTTTTGTTTTTTTTTGGTCACAATCTATGGACTGAATCTAATGCTTCCAAAAATGTTGTTTGCAAATATCAAACATTGTTATGCAAGAAATTATAAAATGAAGATTTATACCATTGTGGTTTAAGTTGTACTGAACTAAATCTGTGGAATGCATTGTGAACTGTAAAAGCAAAGTATCAATAAAGCTTATAGACTTAAAATGTGTTTGGTATTTTGTTTCATGAGACTATAGCAGAGTAAAAGTATGTACAGAAGAGTAGACTTTGCTTCAGCCAGTGAACTTGTGCTTTTAGAAAGGTTTTCAGCTCTTGGTGCAGCTGTTTACTGTGAAAACAAAAGTCAACAACAAACAAGTTTACATAATCAAATTTGACACATACCAAAATGTTTGTTTTTATTTTTTGTACATGGATAACTGAAAATAAATTCATGCACCAATATTTTAGCATATAGTAGAATACAGTGCAGGATTTATGAAGATACATAAAATCATATCATATAAATGTTTACAAATAAGATTTAAGAAGTTTTCTTGACACACAGACACTATTGCTCTTTAAATATAGTTGTATATATCATCATTGATAAATTTATTGTTCTTCCACATGGTTATTTCAATGCAAGGTCCGATCAGTGTGAAAGGTCAGTAGTACAATATAGGCAGACATGGTTATCACTCAGCAACACCAGTCACGTGGTTACAGAAAACAGAATTAGGACTGCATAGGGATCTACCATGGGCCCAACAACCTATCAGTGGATTAATGTAAGGCATTAATAAATTGGCATATAAAAAATAGCTCAAGAAGTGATCTACTCCATTTAGAATGCTGAAGCACTTTTGTGGTAAATGTTAATCTATTCTTCAATTGAAAATGCTTCATTTCACCTTTCCTCTAGACTGACAACTGCAAATAGCCAGTAACTCAAGATCTAGAATTTTAGTTTACTGACAGGAAGGACTAATAGGTATCTGTGTGCTCAGAGCCACCAGTCCCTCACCAACCTTCCTTTCAGTGAGCACTGTCAGCCCCGTCCTGTAGTCAGTGGTTGGCTACATGTAAAGTGTGACCGGGGGGTGGGGGTGGGGGGGATAGCTTCTGATTAATATCGTCCAAGTCACATTTTGTTATACAACCAACTCTGAGGAATTTTAACCTAAATTATTTTGGTTTATTAAGTATTCCTTGGGTTTAGGAATTTTTTCTGCAGAGATTGTTTTTGTTTTTTTAATCCAGACCTATATAATTCACCTGAAAAAAAATTAGTCAGCACCACTCGGGGTGGTAAACCAAGGTGCAGCCTCAGGTCACCTCATTTATTACCATTTTAGGATTTAACAAGAAAAATCAGTTTATTCTCCTGGACCTCCTTGAGCTTTTATTTTTTCCTTCCATTTTGAAGACAGGTTTGTTTTATATGAATTTTATTTTGGATTTTGCAGGTTTGGCACTAAACGTAATGACAAGTTTTCCTACCCCTCACCCCCCATTTAAGTTCTTTTGCTGCTCACCCTCCTGCTATACCACTGTTTCCCAAACAGGTACCTGATGTGTTTCATTTATGAAGCCATGACATAAACATAGGACATGGATGACAGACTTTACATCTGCTAAGGGTCCTGCAGCCCTCCTCAGTTTTAAGGTTTTAGCACCATAGTAGAAAGATAATTTGTGGGAGGTGAGACAGCAGCCCACGCAACTGGAAACTTTCAAAGGCACTTAATGGATATAAAACTCTGCAAATAAAATGTTAAAAAATTAAGTTTCTCAACTTGTTTATACATGGCTCATTTGGTTTCTAAAGCTAAATGTGGAGAACAGAGGGTGTCGATATTTCTAGTACTTCAGTGCATCTAACTTAAGCTGTCTTGTTCAACTTATTTGTAAAAATGAACATTCTTGAAGTATATAGAAACATAATAGCAAAACATCTTTTGTAAAAGTTTTGATGCAAATTAAAAGCTACATATTGGTTAGGGTAACTGAGGCTTTAAATTTTGTCAGTGGGCTACATTATCAGATATGATTTCCTTGTCAGTGTTGTTGGTATGTATAGTTTTTAGTCTCGGGAACAGAGGCAAGCAGTCTTAACATTTTAGAACTTGACTTTCCTTCTTGGCATCACAGTTTTGGAGAGTCCAGATTATGGGAGCAGTCATATAACTTTACCAGTATTTCGAGCTTGTGCGTCCCGCAGCATTGTAGGCATTTCCCAGCAGCTAGTGGCGAGGAGGCACCCCGGCACTGCCTCTGTAGTTGCTGGGTGGTAGCAGCAGCAGCAATAACGTAAGAGGTTTCTGGCATTTACAGACATCGCCACACAAATACACTGCAAAAGCAAACCAAACAATCATTTTGCATGGCTGAACATGATATTGTCAAGTGGCAAAGAATAATCTTGCCAAGTGTTCAAGAGTTCGGCTCAGGTGATAGATTGAGCATTTCGAAAAGCAAACCAGGGATCTTGCCACCAATTAAAGGTCTATGGCTTTTTTTCTTTTTTAAAGACCTATTTTTGGGGGGCGTTTGTTTGACTCAGCAACTTGAGTGTCTGTGCTGAATGTGGTCAGTGAAGAGCTTTGGCAGGTTGACTTCACGCTATCTCTGCTGTTACTATTGAAAAGGTTTTATCAGCTCCACTTGAGTCAGAGAGCCCTTTCGAGTGTTTAAGCACAGAGCCAGGGGTCACGGCATGCTCCCATACCTACAAAGGCTTAGGAGCCCTGCATTTTTAGGCCTTTTTTTCATGTCTCCTGCACTGGGGTGACCAATTCGCTTATGTCTCTCATTCCTAACTTGTTCACAGTTTGGCTGGTGCTGCTTTGAATGGGTGTTTACACTCCACAGGGAGCTGCTGTCAGTGCTATCTCACGGGCTCCCAGTGCTGGCCGTGGCTGGCACAGCTGGCTGCAGATGGTGCTCCCAGGCAGGCCACCAGAAAGCATCCTTGAGGCAATTTCCTACACAATACTTTTGGGTGAGAAGTGGGTTGAAATTCTCAATAGGTACCTTTTCCACAACCTAACTCCGACCACTAAAAAGTCAGAATTATCCCCTCAAGAGTTATGCTTGGGCTGGACAGAAATCAATATTCATGCTGTAAAAAGCCCTTCAGATACATCAGATGTGGAGAAGCTGAGAGAATTAGAATGACCTAGTCCTGTTCCTCTGCACTCTAAATAGGAAATGCCCTTGGTCTAGGGACCAAAGAAAGCTGTCTACTCTGAAATGCTGGGAAGAGGCTGGTGTCATCTGTGAAGCACGCTGGTAGGAGTTCTTCCAGTCATGCCTCACGTAGGACAACATGCCTGTTTCACACTATAAGGTCAAAAGCCGCCCTAGCTCAGGAGTCTACATAGCTAGTCGAGGTTCTCCTGTGATGGTGGACCCTAGCACTGGGTCTAATTGCATTCTCTCATGTGATCTCATGTAAAATGTTAACACTTGCCCTGCTTGTTTCTTAGGGTGACCACTTGGGAGTTCCTAAAAGGACATGGATGAATTTCAGTTCTAAACTGATTACACTCAATGACGCCAGTGGGCTGTCAAGAGCACCTACTGAAATCAGCCATTTCAGGTGTCTCACCCACCTGCCCCTTCCCGCCAGCAATGCTCAGAGTAGCTATCACATGCCCTTGGCTTCTCACCAATCCCAGGACAGCTGTAGTGGGGGGTGGGGGGACACGAGCCCATCAAGATTTGAGTTGAGGGCCGACCCCGTGGCGCACTCGGGAGAGTGCGGTGCTGGGAGCACAGCGGCGCTCCTGCCGCGGGTTCGGATCCTATATAGGGATGGCCGGTGCGCTCACTGGTTGAGCGCGGTGCGGGCAACACCAAGCCAAGGGTTGCGATCCCCTTACTGGTCACAAAAAAAAAAAAAAAAGATTTGAGTTGAGAGTCACCAGGAACTAAATACCTTATCCTTGGAAGACCTTGCCTTCTTAAGACTAAATGGAATTTCCTGTTTCCTGTCCCACATCAGTCCCTCCCGAGGCCCTGGGAGAGGCTGGCCCACAGGACACCTGAGGTGGGGAAGGAGAGAGGCCAGGCCGGGGGTGCCAGAGCCAGATTGATCAGGTTAGTACCTGCAGTCGTCTCCTCCAGTGCTGACCACGTACTTGTCATCATAAGAGAAACGGATATTCGTCACGTGAGCTGAGTGACCAAAGTAGCGCTTATGTTTGGCCTGTGAGCAAAAGTGAATGGAGACAGCTGAGAGACCTCCACAAGGCAACCACAAGCTGCTTCCAGGAATCAAATTTTCTCCTCCCAGAACCTTCCTTCACTCAGGATTCTGGTAGGCAGCCTTCTGTGACTTCCCAGCCTCTCATTCTTGCCCCACTTGTGGTCATTCTGCCCACCCGAGATCCGTCCCTTCCCCCAGCTTCCAGGATTGCCCCTCCAGAGGGAGATGAAAAGGTTAGTCACTGCCCAATCTCCACAGGGCTGGGACAAGATTCCTCTATCAACCAGAGGGCCATCTGGATGTGGCCACTACCTCCGATAGACTGCAGAAGAACAGAGCCTAGAGGCAGTGCAGGGAGGTTACTCTGAATGAGACTCACAAATTTTTCTGTGCATGGAAAATCAAAGAGCTTCACCAAGCCAAAATCATCTCCTGTGACAATGTTCAGACCAGCGTGGGTAACACATGCGCAATTGACATCAGCCTTGTCTGCATTTCGAGGCCAGATTCCAATAACTTCGTCTCCCAGAATGCTGTTCCAACAGGAAGACATGTTAGGAGAAAGATGGGAGAAGGTTTCCTGCAGTCAGTTATCCCCTCCCAGGGGTGAGAGAGAGAGAGGAACGTTTTACACCGGGCAGTATGATCACGCGGCTCAGCTGGCACAGACGCATCTCTCCCCCTCTGTCCGTACCTGTGCCAGCTCTTACTGTGTCCTCTCTGCCTCAGTCCCTTACACTCTGAAAAGTTACCCCCCGCCATCTTTGACTCTCTCCGTCCCCTATAGTGCTTCTGAATATGAGCATGTTGGGGAGAAGACAGAGGGGCTCCTTCAAACTCACAGGTTGGATGGTCTCTTTTGCCTTGAATTGTTTTATCCTGCTAACAGCCCTTCCATTCCCTTCCCCTGGTGACTGGAGGCCTCACTGTGCACCTGAGCTTAGCCAATAGATGGGAGATGGTTCCCTTTGAACTTGCTGGATGGGGTTGGGGTCTTGTAGGATAGATTACACAAGAAGAAGGACATTGCATTTCAAATGCCCAGGTCAGGTCAAAGCCAGTGGCTTAAACTGGTGCCAAGAAACCTCCCACCCTCACCCCCAAAAGATAGCTCCATCTCTGAGCTTCTTTAGGTCCTGCCATGCACAAACTTGAAGGCTGAGCCTGGGACAATAGACTCTCTTGTGACCTTTTCCTTAAGAAGAGTTTTTCTCTAGTCACCTTGTCCAGCAGGCCCAGGTGATCTTCTCAATGACCATGGCTTCAGTTACCTGCTTCCCCAGGGGGACCTCATGCACCTGGCGCTTATAGGCTCCTGTGGACACCTGTGGGGAGAAGGGAACCCATGCTCATCAACTTTCTTTCTTAGTCCAGAAGATGCCCCTTTTGGTGTGTTGTTTCACAGAACACTGGCCCAGCCTCTGCATCCCTAGGGCTTTTCTCAAAACTCAAGATCAGCTCCAGGCTGCAAAGCCACAGCAAAATTCACACAAGTATGGTTCCTGACCAGCAGCATCTGGAAACTTGTTAGAAATGCAAACACAGAATCTCTGTTCTTAGGGAAACCAGGACCTAAAGGAGGCAGAAGTAACCTAAAGGAGGCAGAGGTAAGACAAGTTTTCTCATGGACAGCAGCTGATACAGGTGATTTCTGAAGTGTCTAGGACCCGACCCTTGGGAGCCTTCTAGGGGAAACTGACAGCTTTTCCTACTGTCAAGGATATTTGCCAGCAGAGGGCTGCTGCCTACATCTCCAGCCCCCTCTCTCCCTGCGGAGCCTCTACCCCAGCCACCCCCACTTTCATTCTGTTCATGCAGATGGCCTGGAACAACGTTCCCGCCCCTCTCTGTTGGCTAACTCCTACACATCCTACAGACCTCAGCTTAAATGTCACTTGCTCAGAGAGGAAATGAATCTAAATTTGGCACCTTGTTAAATGCTCCCAGCACCCTGTACTTTTCCTTCTTGGCACGTAATTCCAAACTGTAATTATATGTATATTTTGTGACTGTCTGTTTAATGCTTCTTCTCCATTTTAGAGCAAGTTCCAGGAGACAGGGACAAGGCCCATTTTGTCCATTCAATAGCCTACCACAGTGCCTGGCTCAGTAAATACTTGATGGATGAACTAGCAGATGCATGAAGGCACGAGCACATCCTCTCCCCTTTCATGGTGAATATCCAACTCCAGGCCAGCTCACACACGTATAGTATTTGCTCAGTGCTTGAGAAGGTGTTCTGTTTTTAGCTATCAGTCCCAAGGGTGAGCCCTTCTCAATCCTTCCACATGGGTCAGTTCCCCTGGGGCCCAGTGATGAGCTCTCCCTCCAGGCGCATTGTCCAGAACGTTCCGAGCATGGAGGGACCACGCTACCCAAACTGCACAAGTATAAGCAGCGACACAAGGCTTAGGTGCAGCCCCAGAGAACTAGAAGTTAGGAAGGTGGTAAGGGGAGGGTTAAAGATGCCTACGGCTGTATTTCCTTCTTTTCCTACTGAAAGAATAACTCTTTACTTCTTTAAATACTATTTCTTCAACTTTCTTAAATTTTCTAAGTCTCTGTTTCCACATTTATAAAATAGGAAAAAGTAATGGTACTTAAAGGGTTCCTGTAAGAGTAAATTAGCATATTGCCTGGCACACAGTAACTGCTCAATTAATATGAGCCATTATTATTACTATTATTATGGTTGTCCCAGATATAAGTAAACCCACGGCATACCTGAATGTATTTGCTATCCGCAGAAAAATCCATCTGAATGACAAAGCTTGGGATATCTTTGCAGTAGCCAATGCGGTTCAGACTTGTGCCCTGAGTGAGGTCATAGAAGTCAACTGTGTGTTCAGAAGAACCAACGGCTAAGAATCGGTTGTCTGGGCTGATTCTAGAAAAAGCAATCCAAGAGCATGGTCTGTGAGGAGGGCTGTTCGGGGCTGGTCAGGCATGAAGGCCGCTCTGAGGTCGACTTCGTCACTCGCATGTGGTTAGCTTCTCCCTACATTCTAAGGGATTGAACGTTTTCTCTGGGTCGAATCCCACAGAAGTAAGGAAATGGATGTATGCAGCCTTTCACAGAATGACGTTTTACAAGTTTTTACCACACTCTTGTGGCAATTAGCAAAGACATTTGTGAGAGAGTAACCTTTTTATAGGTGGCTTGTTGAAAGTGACCCTCTCACAACTGAGTTCCAGCCACGGCCCTTCTGGAATGGGAACCACTGGTAAGGGGAAGGCTCGCCTTTCTCCTCCCTGCCAGACCACCTGCTTACATACCTGATATCTTGGATAGCAGATTTCCGATCCCGTTTTTTCCCCCAAACTTTCAGGCTGTTCACCAGCAGGATGACAAACTCTCCGTTCTTCATGCCAATGGCCACCATCTCCCCATCAGGGCTGTAGGCTGCACACCTGGCCGCGTGGCCCAGGTTCACCTTGTTTAGCAGCTTCTACATTGATACAAAGTAAAGTCACCTGAGCCTGCGGCCACCTCAGCTGGTCTCTAAGAGAAATCCTGCACCGGGCTGGAGTCATCAGGCTGCCTCTGATGCCACTGTAGGCCACCAAATCTCTTGCTTCTCATAGTAAATGTCCCTGAGTGCCCAAGGTGGACAGTGTGTTTTGATTACAGTGGCTTGGGGGACAACATGTTTTGGGGCAGGGTTTAGCAAACTTTTTTTGTAACTAGTTAGGTAGTAAATATTTTAGACTTCGCCGGCTATCTGGACTGTGTCTTAACTGCTCCACTGCTGCCACTGCAGCACAAAAACAACCACAGGCAACACATAAACAAATGGGCATGGCTGAATTTCTAGAAACAGGCAGCAGGCCACATTTGGCCCTCCAGCTGGAGGTTGCTGACCTCTTGTTTAGGGAAAAGAGTTTGAGCTGCAGCACCTGCTAGTTCAAATCCTGAGTCCTTGGCTCTGTCACTTCCTAGCTGGGTGTGTTTGGGAAAGTTACTTATCGGTCTTGCAAGGTTGTTGTAAGTTCCCATGACAGTGTCCATGAAGCATCTGGTATATAATAGGTATTTGATAAATGATAGCTGTTGTTAATAATAAATAATTATAAAAACTTAGAATAACAACCACATTTATGCTTTTGCTTCCTATTCTTTGACCCTTACACTAAAAACATGCCTACAACATTTACGAGCTATTTTGAAGTGAAACCAAATATTTTACTTATTAGAACTTAAGTACTTATTTTAATATTGGATGAGTCTTAGTAACATTAATATTTTTTTTCTAGACTATTCCTTGCTGTTTTACATTTTTAACCCAGATGAACTTTAAAATTGTTTCCCCCAAATCTAAGAGAAACCATGTTGAGATTTTGATGGAGATACATTAGTCCATTTGGGAACATTTGACAGTTTAAATCATTTTTAGTCTTCTCATCTGGGGAAGACATGATTTGTCTATTTTTTTGGATTTTGTGGGTTCGTTCATGATAAGAGAATAATTCTCTAGATATAAGATATATAGATTGGGTAGTGTGAGTGGGACTACTTTTATAATGAGGCTTTCTAACTCAGTTGCTGACTTGGGGCTGACCTTTTATCTGGCCCCCTTCCCCGTCCCTGGCTTGACCATGGCTGGCCCACTCTCCCTCAGCTGCTACAGCTGTGTGGCCCACTCTTGGGTATCCGAGCCTGGGCAGAGTCGACCCCTCACCTTGTCAGCCAGGTCCCAGATCCGGGCTGTGCCATCATTGCTGGCAGAGATGAAGATGTCCTTGGAGGGGTGTGTGGCCAGGCCCCAGATCTCTCCTTCCATGTGCCCATCAATCAGGATGTTGGAAGCAGCGTTTTTTTCACCAACTTCAATTATTTCTCCATCTTTGGTTCCCACTAAAATTTTTCCCTGTTATAATCAAAACACTATTAGAAAAAAGACAAATACTGTATGTTTCCACTCATTAGAGGTACCTAGAGTAGTCGAATTCATAGAGACAGAAAGAATGGGGGTTTCTAGGGGAGAGGGGAGGGGAGTTAGTATTTAACAGGCACAGTTTCAGTTTGGCAAGATGAAAAAGTTCTGTAGATGGATGGGGGGTGATGGCTGCACAACAATGTGAAGATAATTAATGCCACTGAATTGTACACTTTAAAAAGTGTTAAATTGGTAAATTCTGTTATGTATATTTTGCCACAATTCAAAAAATTTTAAAAACCCACTATTAGAGAAACTTGGGAATGTGCTTTTGCTGTGTTGGTATTAAAATAGGAAGAGCGGAGAGGCGTTTTGTTTTTAACTAAACCATCCATCCTTTAAGCAATCTCTGCCACCTTCTCACTCTGCCTTTTCTCCATCAACTCCCTTGGGTGACAGCTTCAACACAGAGTTCTCCATCATCCAGCCCCTGCTGGAACATTCCAGTGACTGCAAGCTCGCTACAGAGCAGGGCAGCCCATTTCTGTTCTTGGACAGCTCAGCTCTAAAAGTTCTTCCTTCTGCTGAACAAAACTCTTTTTTCTGATAACTTCCAGGTTCTGGGCTTAGTCCTGTCTTCATCTCCCGTATTACTCTTCCAGATTATAGTCACTTAACTGTTTAAAAATAAAATTCCCAACTTCAAATTATATGGACTCCAAGTCTGGTTTACCATTTTTATGGAGAGCATCCAGAAAGAAAATTCTTAGACTGGTACCAATTTAAAAATATAAACAGAAGGTATTAAACAGATTAAGAGATTAGCTTTTAAGTGCATCAAATCTCCCAGGGGGATTTAAAAAAGGAGAAGAAAAGAAGAAAAGAAAAACACACAGGTCATAGCCCCACCCTTGAGATTCTGATTTGGCAGCCTTGGGCCAGAGCCTGGACATTTATATTTTTTTAAAACTCCACAGTTGTTTTTGATACTTAGCCAAAGTATGAGTTGAAAACCAATGGCTTTGAGTCTGACAGTCTGGTGGCTCGTATTCTCCCCCTTACTGGCCTCGTAACCTTGGGCATGGACACGTTATTTAATATCTCTGGGATTATAAGGATATTACCTATAATAATAGTAGCTAACATCTCCCAAATGTGACCATATGTAAGACATAATGAGAGACACTGTTGTGTATAACGCACGCAGTCCTCACAACCACTTCACAATGAACCAGTGTGCTGCACACAGAAAGGTTAAGGAACACGCAGGTTCGCACAGCCGATTCTTCCAGGGGGAGTCACAGTTTGTACCCAGGCCTAAGCTACCTCCCCAGTACAGTATAATTCACACCTCGGAGGCTTGTTTCAAGAATGAAACAAACCAGCACACGGAAAGTGCCTGTCTGGAAAGGGGCTGGCCCTTCCTCCCCGCCCAGCCCAGCTCACTTTGCCACGGCACACGGAGCGCACGCATTCCACCAGCTGCCCTGTCTCCAGCTGGAAAGCCCGGCAGCGCTTCATCTCCTGGTCCCACAGTTTTACAGCACCTCCTTCTTTAGTCCTAAAAAAGATTGAGAAGCACTCAGGCTGTGAGCGCCCCTCTCCTAAGACCTCCCACGACCCTCCCTCCCCTTTCTCCCAGTCATCAAGATCATGGCCACGTGGGGCTCAGCAGGATGGACCCTCCAGGATCTGGACCCTCCAGGGTGGCCCCCTTCCTAGGCACTGCTGGTGAGCAATCGCAACCCCCCCTGAACTTGCAGATTTCTTAAAATATCCTCAAACACTACTATCTTGGGAGGAAAGAACATGTAATCCAGAAATCAGACTAAGTTTTTATTAGATCAGGACACTAAGAAAAATGATCCTCCTGTCTTCATGCTTTGTTTTCACATCTTTCCTGTCCCCACTGGAACGTCCATCCCTCTTCTCACTTCCTCCTCCATCCCCCAAAGTGCTACTAAGTGACATTTTATGAACTGTAAAGTCACTTCGGTTTATTCAAGAATACATCTCGGGTTTTTAAACTACCACTAAACCATCTCTCTACTTCTCTGTTACTCGTGACATTTTTGACTAAGGACCCTCTTGGAGAGATGACAGACTGATGTCCCTAGTGCAGAAAAGCTAGGATAATGACAATCTACATTTCCTCCAAGTTGGGGATGCTTTTGTTGGTTTCTCCCAAGACAATAACAATAGACAAGTTGTTCCCAGAGCAGCTTTTGCTTACGGCCGCTCTTTTCCACCAGTCACTATGAGTCCATCCCGAAGGGTCGTGTACATTGTGAACACGGGGCCCGTGTGAGCCTTGGCCACCAGCCGGATGAGGAAATGGTCCTTCCAGACATAGACGTCTCCATTAATGGCGCCCGTGAAAGTGAGGTTGTTCTGTAAACAAAGGGACATCTTCCGCACCAGGAACACACTCAAGGGGGCCCTTCCCAGCCATGCATTCCTTATTGAGGAACCAGAGCTAGAGAACCAGAGGTGTGTGGTCGATTTGATTTTTTTTTTTTTTTTTTTTTTTTTTGTGGCCGGTAAGGGGATTGTAACCCTTGGTTTGGTGTCGCCCACACCATGCTCAGCCAGCGAG